CTATAAAAAAAATAAAAAATAATAAGTGATAAGAATTATAAAATAATCAAATAACTTAAATTGTAAATAGTTTATTTATATAAAAAATAATCTCTTTAATCTATTTTTTGTTTGCATGTGCAAAATATATCAAATTTTCATATTGCATATCTATTAATATATAATAAGGATTAACTTAATTCAATTTTAGAAACTATTTCCCGCCAAATTCATTAATTATAGTCTAAAAATAGTAAATTAACATAATTTCCTAAAATTGCTCTTAATTATTTCTGATTAACATTAATTTTTTTATGGAATAAAATTTTTTTTATGGAATAAATCATTTACGCCATTATTTCTGATTTTTATTTATGGAACAAATCATTTTGTGGCTCCATTAACAAAACAACGAGCATTAATTGCACATAATTTCTTAAAATTGCTCTTATTTATTTCGGATTAACATTAATTATTTATGTAATAAATCATTTTTTCACGCCAGGATTTCTAATTTTTTGTGGCTCTATTAACAAAACAACAAACATTAATTGCAGATACTATGGAATAAATCTCCTCTTTTAATTCTTCATATAAATCTCCTCTTTCAAGGCTCCATATAAATCATTTATATGATAAAATCTTAACAATATCTTTCCATTTAAATAATTTTCATCAATCACTCTTTTCCGTACCAACGTGCTAAACAACAATTTGTATAAAATGATATTCACTACCACGATTATTTCTTCACTTCATTCACAACGTTCAGAGAAAAAAAATTATATAGATAAATCAGTCCAAATAATTGAAACGCATCATGAACGGGAGAACTGGAACGCATTCCATATATTGTTTCATGATGAACAGGTAAATATTTTTATTAGTAATATCAAAATTATTATTTCTAATATATTTATATTATGAATTTCATTGTTCTTTCATGTCCTTGAAGGTTATTATTTCTAATTTATTTATTGTTTTATTAACTTTATTATGTTTTATTGTCATTCCATGTCGTTGAATTATGAATTTTAGTGTTATTATATTTGTTATCGTGATATTACGTCTCTCATTCGTTTGGATTAAGTAATATTTACACGCTTGAATTATTGAGTTCCAATTGTTGTTTAAAATAAAATATCGAATTCTTTTTTTTCTTTTATGCACTTAAAAAAAATATTAAGCTTAATCAATTAATCAACTAATTAAATAATATAATAATACATTTGGGAGATTCATTTCTATAAATTGTTTCTATAAATTAATTAATTGTGTTTCTATAAATTGTGTTTCTATAATCAATTAATATTTTATGCGCGTATAAATTTTTGTTTCTATAATAAATTGGATTAATTAAATGTATTTCTATAAAGATTAAGTTTAATGACTTACATCAATTATTATAATAAATTAAACATGTTTCTATATATCTATTAAAACTCTCTCTCTCTCTCTCTCTATATATATATATATATATATATATATAATCGTTTAGTATAAAAAATATATTTAAAAAACTCTATAAATTGCCGATGATTGTAAAACGGAAATCGCCGATGATTGTAAAAGGGAAATCATATCTTCCATGTCGGAAAATTAAATAAAAAAACAATACTAATTCGTTCAGGTATCGGAAATTAAATCAAAAAACAACACTAATACGTACAGTAAAAGGAAATTAAATCAATACGAACCAAATACATATATGCGTTTTTGCTTTATTCAACACGTTTTATACTTTTGCAGATTTAATACAAATATAGTTTATATCTTCTACACGATAAAATACAAATGTACAAATCCATAAGATACATTTTGTGGCCGCATATTATGCAATTTTTTTGGAGTCTGCCAACAAAAAAAATAAAATAAATATTAATATTTCAATTCATCAATTAATTAAAGTTGGACGTAAAGATTAGTATTTACATTCCTATAAAATACCCAAAATCCTACACCGTCCAATTTTTATTCCCTTTCAATAAGTTTGTAATTAAAAGCCACTCTCAACAATTAAATTAATTGAAATTAATATATATTAATTGATTCCTATATATATAAATAACATATTTTATTAACTTCTCCAATTTCTGTTCATAAAAAAAACGCATAGAACTTTCGGAAAATATTAAAAAAAAATGAGAGAGTTATTTGATACACTCCATGTTGTTAATAAGCAATTCTAATTATTGAGATGAAATTGGACGTGAAATCCAATAATTTTTTTGAAATCATCTTTCAAGATCGTGAGATAATATTTTGATTTGTTGTATATTGTATTACTAACATACGTAATTTTTTAATTTAACTAATTTTGTATAACTTCATATTGTAGGGTGCGCAAATAACTGTCATTATATGTTCTGCGTATATGTGTGCACTTCGAGGTGTATTTAAGCAAGACGATATATACGCACTCACGAGATTTTTAATAATGTATAATTTTTTGTCAATAACGATTTTATGTTTACTTTATAAATGTTATACGTATTATAACAACTTATTAATAAATGACTTTTTAATTTTTTAAATTTTTTCAAAACATTTACTAACGATGCACGAGTTACATACTAGTGTGGAAGAGGGCAATTAGGATTTTGAGTTAAAAGAGAAATTATCTCATTTAGTAGTTACAGTAGTTCTTGGTCCACCGGAATCCAACCCCATAACATTCGAACCGAAAACTGCGATGGAGCAACAGGCACCGCCGCCATCATCATCCAAGAGCTGGAGCATCCACACGCGCCGCGAGATCACATCGAAGTACGAGATCCTTGAGCGCGTGGGCTCCGGAGCGTACTCCGACGTCTACCGAGCCCGGCGCCGTTCCGACTCGCTCGTCGTCGCCCTCAAGGAGGTCCACGACTACCAGTCCGCCTTCCGAGAGATCGAGGCCCTCCAGACGCTCCAGAGCTGCCCCAACGTCGTCGTTCTCCACGAGTACTTCTGGGCCGACGACGACGACGACGCCGTTTTGGTGCTCGAGTACTTGCCCTCCGATCTGGCCTCCGTGATTAAGGCCGCCAAGAAGGAGTGGGACGGTGGGATCGGCGTCGGCGAGGTCAAGCGGTGGATGGTGCAGATTCTGGCTGGGGTCGATGCCTGCCACCGCAATTCGATCGTTCATAGGGATTTGAAACCATCGAATTTGCTGATATCTGCTGATGGGGTTCTCAAAGTTGCCGATTTTGGGCAGGTGCGAGTTCAGTTAATACCAACTCATTAGAATAAAACTGATTTTTTCCCCTTAAGGTTTTGCGTTTCCCTTAAGTGAATTCCGTATCTCCGTTTTCACCGCCTGCTTCTTACAAAGACCTATCTGAAAAATCTTCATTCCCAACTAATGATGGAGGGCTCGTCCAAAGCAGGGCTATCTTTTTTTTTTCAGAAATGACATCGAGGTTGTAGAACGTTTATCAGGAAACTGACTCATCTGTATAGTCATTAGTCAGTTGATTGATCTTTACATCAATCATCATAGAATGTTACTGTTTGCATTGACATTTATTTTCTTGTGTGTTCAAGGCTAGGATACTTCTTGCCCCAGGATTTGTCGCCGATGATGTATATAATCAGATGGCCGAGCAGCCTTCGCCAAACAAAGCAACTTTATTTCAGCCACCAGAGGTTCTTCCCACGCTAGAAGGCCGTTCTGTTCAAGAACATGTAAAACCAGGCCGTGAAAAATGCTTTCTTGAGCCAAATGCTTACTTTACAAGTGATGTTGATGAAGAGAGTATGAGCCGTGATGGGGCTGCTTCTAATCTTGCCACGTGCACCACAAGTGATGTGGAGGACCCTTTCCATCAATCTTATTCTTACGAAGCTGAAGATGATGGAGCTAGTGGAAATGGGCCACTTACCTCCTGTGTGGGGACCCGATGGTTTAGAGCCCCTGAGCTACTCTATGGGTCCACGAGCTATGGGCTCGAGGTTGATCTTTGGTCCCTCGGTTGTATTTTCGCGGAGCTTCTGAGTCTTGAGCCATTATTCCCAGGCGGTGCTGATATTGATCAGCTGGGCAAAATTTTCAGCGTTTTGGGCAATATGACGGGTGAAGTCTGGCCAGGTTGTGTCCACCTTCCTGATTACAATATAATTTCATTTAGTAAAGTGGAAAATCCAATTGGCTTAGAAGCATGTCTCAAGAACCGATCTACTGATGAAGTGCTTCTTGTGAGGAGGCTTTTGTGTTTCGACCCTGCAAGTAGAGCTACCGCAATGGAATTGCTTAATGATAAGTATTTTAATGAAGAGCCTTTACCGGTTTCTTTATCTGAGTTGAGGGTTCCAGCTAAAATCGGGAATCATGATGAGGATTCATCCATTGATTGGAATGATCATAGGGATTTCGGGTCGGATTCGGATTTCGACGAATTTGGCTCGTCGCTTGTCACAACCACAGAAAATGGTTTTTCCATCCAGTTCTCTTGATGTTGATGGCAAGAGTTTTTCTTACCTTCGATTGATTTAAACCATTTGCAGTCACCGATCATTGTTCTTATCATCAATCATTTGGCTTTTGCAATTAGAAAAAGGCAAGCAAAAATATGCTGATATGCAAGAATTTCGCAGCGGGCATCTTGAGGGCTGCCACCACACTGTCATCATGGCCTCAGGTGTGAGATTGTTATTTGTGTTATTTTAATCCATTTTGCCTCGGTGAGACATTAAAAGACTATGATTAGTGATCCCCTGTGATATGTAATCATGGTGAATGTTGAAACTGATCATTTGGTTGAGCAATTTTATCTCTGTTGCCATTTTTACCTGTTTGTTCAAGTTCAAGAATATCTTATCAAGCCAATCATAAAAGTATTGTGGCTCTAAGAGCTCTTATATTTTCCTGTTATTATTTTCTTATGAATGAATTATTATGATTTTTTTCCTTGAAAAAATGAAACACCTGTTGTTGTTGAGTGACTAAACAATGCTTAAAAAAAAAAAGAGGGGAAAAAGGACAAGACACTGGGTATTGAAATTTCAGCCAAGGACAAACAAATACCATCCAACCAGACACAGTTTTGTTTTATCCACAATCCATAATTTTGTGGTCATCCTCTTTATCTCCCTTCATAACTCAGCCCCATTTTTCTTCAGCCATTATCTCCCATCCACACTAACACACACCCTCAAATCCATCCCACCCGAAAATGAACGACACAGTAGACAAGCTAGTGATCTTCCTGGCTAAGAGAGATGGCATCGACAAGCTTGTCAAAACCTTCCAATACGTGTCCAAGCTCGTCCACTGGCACGTAGAGAAAACGCACCCTGACTACGCCGCTCGGGCCAAGCAATGGGAGGTGGCCTCCGGCCTCAGCCGGAAAGCCTTCCGCTCCGGCCGGTTCCTCGCGGGATTCAACACCCTCCGGCGGTCCCCTGGCCCCACTCCCGTTTTCCGGCTGCTTGCCATGCTGTCGAATGGGGGCGAAATGGTCTATTTCTTCTTCGACCACTTGCTCTGGCTGTCGAGGGTCGGGGTCCTCGACGCCAGGCTGGCAAAGAGGATGAGCTTCATATCGGCTTTCGGGGAGTCCGTGGGATACGTGTTCTTCGTGATATCCGATTTTATTCTCATTCGGGATGGGATTAATGCGGAGAGGCAGATTGCGGGGTCCTCCTCCACGGGTGAGGTGTCGGAAGATGATAGGGAGAGATTGGGGAGGATTAGGGTGGATAGGGTGATGAGGCTGATGGCCGTGGCGGCTAATTTGGCCGATCTGATTATCGCGGTGGCTGAGATTGAGCCCAACCCTTTCTGCTGCCATGCTGTGACGTTGGGGATTAGTGGGCTGGTTTCTGCATGGGCTGGATGGTACAGAAATTGGCCGTTGTAAAAAATTGGGGATTGTGGTGAATAATTGTGGTGATAATTCGGTGAAGGTGTTTGATTTGGATAATTTACCCTTTTTGAGTTGTCAATACATGAGGGAAACAAAACAATTGTGTGGTGATTTTTTCTCTTCAATGATTAATGATGATGGTAAAACTTGCTACGAAAATTTGTATATAGTTTACTACTGCATCAGAGATTGTTTTATTGCAACCTTTTGTTTTAATGAATGTTGATATAGCTAAAAGATGCAGATATATTTGATGTAAATAGTGCTAGCAATATAAGATTTGAAGTTTACAAAGTAGATGAAATTTGTTCATATATAATGGGGGGTGACTGTTTCATGGAGCCAAACGCATGTTCTGAGTATTGTGAATGACTCACTAAACTAGTAACTGATAATTTGTAAGGCAAATGGAAAAAAGATTAAAAAAAGTAAAAAAAAAAATAAAAATAAAAATTGCCCCTAACTAGGAGATTGGAAGCTAAAAGAGAAGGCCATGAGGTTTTCATTATTTCCTTTATGAAAATTTAGTTTTGTACCCGATTCTACTTTTTGCAAATAGAAAATATAAAGCAAATTATTAAAACCATTTTAGGTCAAATGAGAAATTAATTCTAGCATTTTAAAGTTAGAAATGTGGGAAAATTTAAGTTTATGTAACTCTAAATTGAGTTTAAGTAACTTCAAGATTGTTGGATTCGCAAACACTGTGCCGACGAATGGTTGGATAAGTCAAATCAGCCATAATCATTTAGTATGCATGCTAGAAGGATTCGTTATGAAGGAGTAGGAATAACAAAGGAACTAGATTCCGAGCTCATTTTTATGAAGTTGGAACAAAGGCTTCCTTGAACTG